CTTGGGGAGTCAACAACATCTGGCACACCAAGTTGAGTTGAGACAGGACCAAGCCACTTTCCCCTGTATCAAGGCTGAGCAAGGTATCCCACCATAGGGAATGGGCTCTAAAACACCAGTTCATGCACCTGGGATAGGTCCTGGTCTCACTTCCAGGGTCCCCACAACAGATCAAGCCACATAACTGTTACCCACATTCAGAGAGTCTAGTTCAGTCCCATGCAGGTTCCTCAGCTGTCAGTCCATAGTCCATGGACTCCCAATAGCTCTGGTCAGATGGCTCTGTGGTTTTTCCCGTCATTATCTTGACTTCCCTTATGCACGTGATCATTTCTCCCTCTCTTTGAACTCCAGGAGCTCAGCCCAGTGTTTGGCTGTGGGTCACGGCAAAAATTGTTCATCAGGGAAATGCAAATCTAAATGACTCTGAGATACCATCTTATATCTATCAAAATAGCTAAGATCAAAAACACAGATGACAGCTTATGCTGGAGAGGATGTGAAGTAAGGGGAACACTCCTACATTGATGGTGGGAGTGCAAACTTATACAGAGCAATCATGCCACAAGGACATTTGCTCAACTATGTTCACACAAGCATTATTTTTTGGGGGAGGGGGTTCAAGACAGGGTTTCTCTGTAGCTTTAGAGGCTGTCCTGGAGCTTGCTCTGTAGACCAGGCTGGCCTGGAACCCACAGAGATCCGCCTGTCTCTGCCTCCTGAGTAATGGGATTAAAGGCATGTGCCACTCCTACCCGGTGCCAAAATTAAGTTAAGCATTTGGCAGACATTGGTGAGTTTTGATAGATATTAGTGACAGGCAGGAGAGAAAGAAGGATTCCAAGACATTCAAAGAACCCCCTCAATGATTGAGAGTGTGCTATTATTATTTTAATATACTCCTTGAGATTATATGTCCTTAACTATTTGTGATACATATGTAACTTTATTTTCTTGGTGTTCATATATATTGATTTAATAATTTTCCATTGTAAGAGAAAATTCACTAAAAATTCCAAGTTTTGGAATTTGTTTTTAATTTTAAACTTTATCCTTTATCTACTACTCTTACATTCTTATTCAGAGGCTCCCCATTTTGCTGCCACTAACCATGCCTCTCTATTACCCCTCAAAGAACACAAATCTGTACCACCAATGCATGCACCTTGTATTAGTGCATTTGCATTACAGTACACGAGTAAATGTCAGAGGACAACCTGCAGGGGTCTGTTCTTTTCGTCTGCCATGTGGAGCCTGGGCTTGGTGGCAAAAAGCTTTACCCCTTGAACCATCTCTGTAGCCCTAGTTTCCATTCTTGAAGTAACTATCACATGTGATTAACTTTAGAGGATAAATGAAACAACATGGTTCATGTGAGGTGAAAATTGGGCCAGAGGAAATGGAAAGTGTTTAGTTTTAAAAACAAGGAGATCAACATTTTAGCAGGTAAGGGAGCCCCTGTAATTGAAATGAACTGGACTTTATATCCTAAGAGTCTAGTAAGAAGGTTCCACGAGATTTCTGGGCAAGACAAAGAAGCTAGCAAACAATATAAGCAGAGAAGAGAAGGGATGTTTGGGGAGTGCCAAGCAGTTATAATACCAGAGACCAAGAAAAAAGAGGAAGTTAAGGCCACATTGTGGAGATACTCAAAAGTCATTGTCATCAATATGTCACCAGCTAGTGTGAGGTCTGGTCCTCTGTCCCTCAGAGAGCTATTATTTTCATTAACTCTGCCATATGCATATGTACTGCCTTTCCCTACCAAGTAAGATCCTTTGTCACATTGACTTAGATTTACAGCTTTACTTAATATATTGGTTGTTGAGTATAAATAAATTTCTGGGACTATATAGTTTCTTTTACATTTTATGTATAGATATCTATTATTGATGATATTAATATTGCATGATCAACCTTATAAAAACTTTGTTAATTATATGTTAGAGTGTATATTGTTTCTATAAATTGAATTGGTTAAATACTCTTACTTCCTTAGGACATTTCAAAAGATTTCTGTCTAGACATTTCAGTTTGAATACGGGCTAAATCAGAGCCTACTTTTTCAGATACTAATTCAACCATGGTGTACTGGAACTGCAGAGCCCTTAGTAACCATCTCTTCCCCCTTCCTCTCCATCGATCAGGTTATCTCAAAGTCACACAGCCATTTACTGGCGATGCCAAGGCTAAATCCTAGTTTGGTGTTACCTTTCTACCACCCAAAACCCTTTCTTATCTAAGTAAGTGACAAATGTAGAACACATAAAGGACAATGTATATTAGTTATTTAAAAACTTCATCTTATAGACCACAGTAAAATGTATCAAGCAGTTCTAAAATTCAGACACACTTGTGTACTTCTAGCAACAACATGACATGAGTCAACATGCTAAGTTTCTAATGGATCAGATATATTTATTACAAACCATATTCTCAAATTCCTCCCATCAAGACTTAAAGTTAACCTGTGACAGCATTGAGAAGAAATATAGGACACTTTTTACAGTAAAAGTATTTCCTTTTTTCCAAATGGCCACTTAGTCTCAGTGTAAAGTGGAACCTCCACAGATCAACCTGGGACTATATATTGAGGAGCATAGCCCAATACTTGGAGGCCTAGAAACAGCGGTGGCTATGTGATGTTAATAGCACATGTGGGTCATTTAGAATAATTAATTAATTGTTAGAATAGTAGTGTTTGGGCTTTACCTTAGGTCCCTGAGCTATTTCTTCTCAGGTTCTTGGTCACCCTAGCAGTGTCAGGTATGGGTTCCATCTTGTGGAGTCGGCCTTCAGTCCTATCATCAGACATTGGCTGGTTACTCTCACAAAATTTGTGCCACCATTGCACTAACGTAACTTGCAGGAAGGTTTGATGCTGGGCTGGCGTTTATATTTCTAGTGTGTGGAGCACCTTCCTAACCCAGAACTAATTTCAAGCTAATAATCACTTGCCACTGAAAATGTAGTTTCCTCCAAGGGTGTTTCACTGGGGAAACAAACTACTCTTAAAGGTAGGCTGCATGCCCAGCAGTTAATGGCCAACAGAAAATGAACCCAATGGCATCTTTGAAGTTTCCTTGCCTCATAATGTGGTGTCAGGGTTCTTCCTTCTTTTTTTTAAATTATCTTAATATTTTTACTTTATTTATATATTTTTCTTCTCTCTTTTTTATCTACTAAAGTCCTTTGCATAATATATTATTGTTTCCAGTTTAGTGGGGTTTTGTTGTTGTTGTTTTTTCAGTTAAAATTGTTTTTATTTATTTAAATTAGAAACAAGCTTACTTCACATCAATCCCACTCTCCTCCCCTCTTCCCCCGCAGCCCCCAACTCTCCAACCCTCCTACCCAATCCCCACCCTGCTCCCCAGGGAGGGTGAGGCCCTCAGTAGGGAATCTCTAAAGTCTGTCATATCATCCAGAGAAGGGCCTAGGCCCTCCCCCATGTGTCCAGGCTAAGAGAGCATCCCTCCATGTGGAATGGGCTCCCAAAGTCCATTTGAATGCCAGGGATAAATACCGATCTACTTCTCAAGGCCCCATAGATTGCCAAGGCCTCCTCACTGACACCCAAATTTAGGAGGTCAGAATAAGTCCTATTCTGGTCTCTCAGCCATCAGCCTGGGGGTCCATGGCCCCTTGTTCAGGTCAGTTGTTTCTGTGGGTTTCAGCAGCCTGGTCTTGACCCCTTTACTCATCACTCCTCCCTCTCTGCAACTAGGTTCCAGGAGTTCAGTTCAGTGTTTAGCTGTGGGTGTCTGCTTTTGTTACCATCAGCCACTAAATGAAGGCTCTAGGATGGCATATAAGGTAGTCCTCAATCTCATTATTGGGAAAGGGCTTTTAAGGTAGCCTCTCCACTATTGCTTAGATTGCCAGTTGGTGTCATCCTTGTAGATCTCTGGAAATCTCACTAGTGTCAGATCTCTCCTCAAACCTATAATGACTCCCTCTATTATGGTATCTCTCATCCTGCTCTCCTCTATTCTTCCCCTGACTCAACCTTCCTGCTCCCCCATGTCCTCCTCTCCTCTCCTCTTTTCTCTGTCTCTCCCTGCATCTCCTGAGAGGATTGGGAGCATGGGGGTGGGAGGACAATTTAGTGTTTGTTTGAGAGTGCAAATAAGTAGATCTGTTTCTTGTGCCTTCTCTTGGGCTTCTATTTTTCTTTGTTCAATATCAGTGTGTTAGCTTTTGTGTTATTTCATTATTATCCTATAGTAGCCTAATTGCTTTTTGACAGGAAGGGGAGGATGGATCTGAATGAGAGGAGAGGTAGGGAGGAGACAGAAGTAGAGAGAGGGTAAACTGTAATCCGGATATATTATGTGAGAGAAAAAAAATCCTATTTTCAATAAAAGAAAGAAAAAACAGCATATGTTGGGGTATTTCCCAAGATAAAATAGAATTAATCCTATTATCATTTAGAGCAAGGATCCTTTCTATTATTAATTCACCTCCAGGGCTCTGCTGTAAGTACTTAATTCTGGAGCCTTCTTTAGGGAAGAGCCTAAGATTTAACTCCAAAGTGAGAATCACACCCCTAGAGAAAGTAGCCAGGATTTAACTCCTTACTCTAACACAAACACACCAGGAAGCATGCGATATGTGCTCTAGTCCTTATAGAAATGTTTGATCAGTTCAGACTTCAAAAGAACAAAAGGAGCCCCCTGGGGGCGGGGGTAAAAAAGAAAACCTCAAAACCAAAAAAGGGCTCTAATCAGCAATTCACTTCAAAGCTCTCTACTGAGGGGTTTCTTTCTCACTCAAGGTTACAAAATACAACAAACAAGCAAGATAAAGCACAAATCAGGCTACGGAGAGGCTGCCTCTCACTTGGTAGGCCTTAGAGAACTTATTAATAGTTGAATGTCCTTTGTCCTCTTCCTCACTCTTGCCAGCCCTAAGGCTCCAAGCTGCTTGCTCTCTTCAGCTTGAGCAACAGGAGGTTGGGGAACTGAAAAGCCGCGGAACTAGAAGCGAAGTGGGCGGAGCGGACAGGGGGGGTAAGAGAAGCGGAGGACCGGTAGGCCTCGTTTCCAGGCCGCGGTCGCGGTCGCGAAGGGATGGAACCCCTACGTGTCCTGGAGCTCTACAGTGGCATTGGTGGCATGCACCACGCGCTGAGAGGTGAGAGCCGACAGAAAACTTTTCAGATTCCCTCCGGGCTGCAGGTTCCGGCTCACGCACCGCCGAGGGGCGGAGCGATGGGGCGGGACCTGGTAGTAGCCGACCTCGGTTGCCCTGGAAACCACCTCAGCGCCGCCCTGGTCCGCCCCTCAAGGCTGCGACTCCCCTACTCTGGCCCCAAGTTTTGTAGCCTAAGCCGCCTGGGAGCCCCAGAGTACTGTTTGTGAGGCAGGATTCTTGGGCCTGTGAAGTCAAATGAACCTAATTTGGTTCAAAGTTAAAGGACAAGGCGAGCCCTTTGTCCAGTGCCAAGACCCAAATTCTAGGCTGGCCGTCGCTGACCCCGGGGGAAGTCACGAAAACGGGACGGGGTGGGTTGGAGCAAGGCGATGATAACTACAATTCAAGATAGAAATTTTCAAGTACTAGGGTGTAGGGGAAACAAAAGGGGGAGGGACCATGGTTAAGTCTGTGGAAAGAAACGTGCCTTCTACAGGCCTACCCAGAAGCCAGAGAACTGGGATCAAATTTTGCAATAGTGCAACTTTGGCCTTACAGTTTCGAACCTGTTACTTGGTTTTAGATGTGTGAAATAGAACTTCCAGAAAGGGACCTCAAGAATCAAAGATGAAGTGCCTGACACATTGTAGCTATTTAGAAATTAGGTTGCTGTCAGCTTAATTTTGAGAGTAGTTTCTTTGTCATCTATCCTCTTCTTCCTGATATTGACTCACTAACAGTTATTTTGTGAACTCCATTGCCATATACTGTATGCTAGACACCTATATGTAGTGATAAACGTGGTGTGTGTGTGTGTGTTCTCAAGTTGCTAAGACAAGGACAAGACAGAAACTTCTCTGCTTCCCTTTTTAGTACCATGAGTAATGATAGGCTAAGAAGCATACAGTTTCTAGTAGTTTGTGCTTTTACATGCTTTTCAACAAATATTGATTTTTCAATCTATCCTAGGTTAGAAATATTACATGTTTTACTACTTTTTCTGATCTTTACATTCATTCATCATTAAAATTAAGCAAGCTAGAAAAACTTGTACTATCTGCCTTATTAATTTTGCACAGTCATAGAATGTTAGCATTTCCCCCCATACCTTGAAACTTCTTTAATTAACACAATTTAAAAGCCACTTAATACTTTACTATAAGCTATATAATACATTTTGAACTTGTAGATTTCTCCTAAGTTTTTTTCCCCAAACACAATGTGCTGCAAATAAATTCCTTAGTGTAAATCATGATTCTTTTTTTTTCTTAAAAATGTGCTTATGGATTTTGGATTAATTCATCCAACAATGAAGGTTAGAATCACAGTCGTTTCTTATCTGGACTATGAGCTCTGTTTTCTGGCTACCCAGCTGCCCTCCTGTCTAGGCTCAGTGGACTTGGTGGGCTTTCTGTGTTCCTTCACTCTTCCAAGTCCCTTCTTAGTTCTAGCCTTTACTTTTGCTGCTGTTGCCACTTGGGGTGTGGCATACACAGACTTTTCTGTGATAGCTTTTTTTTCCCCACCCATCTTATGTTAGTTAATATATGGCCTATTAAGAGATGCCTGCCCTGTTATCCAAAGCAACTTTTATACTCTCCCTATAACTTTGGTTTGAGGTTTGCTTGTAAAAGAGGTCTTGATCACATTAATGCAAATATTTTTCTAGTGTTTATCTGTTTGAGGAACTTTGGTTTTAAATTGATCTGTAATGAAATACACTCTGGTGTTTTCTAGTATTTTCTAGCTTATAAAGATTCGTAACAGTGACAGAAGGCTTTGGCTTTCATTATGTCAGGACCTGTTAGGACTCTAGTACGCTAGCATACTGGTAGACCCAGTATCTCAACTTAGGTCTGTTTATCAGATCTTTTAGCCATTCTGTGTTGCCATCATTGATTCCACTTACTAATGTATTTGAAGAAGAGCAGTAGTAAGAATGTTAAGCCGGGCGTTGGCGGCGCACGCCTTTAATCCCAGCACTCAGGAGGCAGAGGCAGGCGGAGCTCTATGAGTTCGATGCCAGCTTGGTCTACAGAGCCAGTTCTAGGACAGCCTCCAAAACAATACAGAGAAACCCTGTCTCAAAAAACAAAAAAAATGCTAAATTCCCATTTGTCTACTTCTAGACAATGCTTGCAATGAGACATTTTATTGTTGTAAATATGTATCTATACACAATACATACACACACCAAAATGTATCACTTTGTGTTTGAATGAACAGTTCAGCAGGAGCAATTGTGTTTATAAAGTCCTATAAGCATTACCAATATTAGTTTTCAAAACATTTTCAGTATCCCAGACACAAGCATTGCATCCACTTAAAAATATCTCTACACTCCCATCCCCTTTCCTCAAGCTACTGAAGTCTCCATTCTACTTTGGCCTATGAATTATCTATTCTAGATATTTCATAAGTAGAAACATCCAACTATCTCTTGATGTCTTGCTTATTTTAACACTTCATGTAATGTTCACAAAGCTCATCCATGTTGTAGTATGTGCTAATACCTCATTCTTTCTTATGGATGAATGATATATTGTTGTACATATAACAGTCTTGTTTATTTATTCTTTATTAGTAGATATTTAAATTTTTAGCCTATTTGCTATTATGAATAATGTCTCTCTGAATGCTGGTATATGAGTATCTGTTTGGATTCTTGCTTTGTATTCTCTTGGGTATATACTTAAGAATGGGCAAACTCCAAATGTGTTCTGCTTCAGTATCTTCTTCCACAAAATGAGAGCACGGAAATACCGCTATATCAGTAGGGAGTTGTAAGAGTATAAATTCATTTTTAAGAGGTATTTATTTATAGTCTTGGAGTTGGCTCAGGGGTCAAGAACACTTGTTCACCAAGCCAGAGGACCTGAGTTTAAACCCAGGCACCCATAGGCACCCATGGAAAAAGCTGGGCATGGTTACATGTACCTGAAGGCACAGCATTTTAAGGGGAAGACAGGTGGATCCCAAGAGCTCACTGGTCAGCTGAAAAGGACATCTGCTTCACTGAGGGCTGTGTCTCAAAGCAGTGGAAAGCAGTGAAGGAAGACACTGAATGCCCTGCTGTGGTCTCTGTGTGCTTGGACACATGCGGACAGACAGACAGACAGACAGACAGACTCACACACACACACACACACACACACACGAGCACACACATGCACACATGGACAAGGCATTTACATAGAACTTAAAATGTAGGAAGTACTCAATACATACGGAGCAACTTGTTAATCAGTCATAAAGTTACAGAAAGTTATTATGTATTGCTTAAAAATATCTATGGAAGAAATTGATAAATATTTGAAGTTGCCTGACTGTTGAAGGATATTTGATCACACTGTGAATGAACCCCAAGATTGTGTTATTTATTGGAATAACCTGTTTGTAGTTGTGGTGTGGCTCAGCCCTAGCACACACCTTTAATCCAAGAGTTTTCTGCTTGAATATTGTAAACAGGATTAAATAAAGTCAACCATAGGTCAACAGGCAGAACAAGCAACCAGTTAACAGGAAATAAGCATAAAATTATTAATTAAAAGCCCGTAGAGAGTAAGAGGGAGTCAAGAGGATAGATAGAGAGATGAATAGAAAGTAGAAGGGAGGTACTGTGAGTCTGGGGATATTTGATTGGGGGAGGGATGGATAGACAGACAAGACAGATTTCTAGGACAAATGCCGAGGAGGAAGGTCAGCTGGGTCTGAGCTAGCAGGCTTTCACTCCAGCATCTGGCTCCCAAGTCTTTATTGGTAAAATCAAGCAATTGAGATTTTGTTAAAAACAACACCTGGCCTTCCAATATCATGTCTTTCTTTGAGAGATAAAATCATGCCTTTAATTTGAAGTCAGATGAGTAATGATTGACTCCATAATGCTTGTGTGAAAATTTGGAAGTTATATAGTGTTTCTTAGTGTAGATGCCTTGTGAAAGTTAAGAAAAAGATGTAGGACGTATAAAGGTACTAGTAAACGTTTTCTCCCCCCCCCCACGTTAACTGGTTTCACTCTGGTGTTTCCTTACTGATAGAATAAGATCACAATTATGCTAACTTTATACATTTTGTACTATAGAGTTTGAAATTCCCACTTAATATTGATGAAAGGCATATGCTTCCAAAAAGAATTAACTGTTAAACAAACAGGACTCAGAATGATGAATTGAAACAGGATTTTCAGAGGTTAGTTTGGGAGATTTTTATGAGTGATGCCATAATTGTTTATATATTATATATGTTTTACACACACACACACCATGTGTGTGTCTGTGTGTGGGTGCTGGAGGAGGCCATTAGAGGTTGTTAGATTTCCTGGTGCTGGACTTACAGGGGATTGTGAGCCACACAACTTAGGTGCTATGAACTGAACAGAGGTTTTCTGGAAGAGTAGTAATTGCTCTAACCACTGAGCATCTCTCTAGCTCCTATAGTTTTATTTTATGGCAGTTTTAATAGTTAACTGGAGATGGAATACTATTTTGTGCTCTCCTATTTTTTACATTTGACTTTTACCTGAATATGTCAAACATTGTGAAAGTATTGATTATTGACAAAACATTGTAATATTTAACACAGAACATTGTAAATATTTTATACTGGTGGGACATTTACCAAATTGTTCTGTTCTCTCAACGCAAATTAACAAAAGACTCATTCAGAATCTTCGTTGTTGAAGTCTGTAATCGACTGGATCCCATTCATTTACATGACTTGTTCACTATTTACATAGTTTATTTCTTTTGAATTCTGCATGTAAACATTAATTGTTTTCCTGTCTGTAAAGGACTGTAAAGAACGTTAACTTTTTTTCTTTTCATTGAGCCAGTGGGATCAAGTCATGCATTGCTTTACCTTGCTTATGTGTGTGTTCACAGCCTAAAAGATGTGTTTCGAGGAGGAGCTTTTGTTGCTTATCTTTGGTATTTTCTTCTTATTTCTCAGGCTCATAACAAAAAGGCCATTGAATTCTTTTATTCACATATCAGAAAAGTTGT